CATGTTGCCATTGCTCCAAGCACTAAAACTGAACGTAAGCCTTAGAGAACTCAATCTAGTTCTAAGCATCTCCTGGGAAATGGTTTGCTCTAATTCATAAACCCAAGCACTCCATGAAAATACCAAATGCCCCCTTCCTGCCTCAACTGTATTCCAAGGATAGCACAAGAATGTGTCTGGATTTCATTTGACCTCTGAGTCAGAGCTCCAGAGCTAGTCTATGATGGAGCCCAAAGAGTAATTGTACCTGTGTCTGAATGGGGAAAGAGCTCTCTCTCTCTCTCTCTCTCTCTCTCTCTCTCTCTCTCTCTCTCTCTCTCTCTCTCTCTCTCTCTCTCTCTCTCTCTCTCTCTCTCTCCCTCCCTCCCTCCCTCCCTCTCCCTCCCTCCCTCCCTCCCTCCCTCCCTCCCTCCCTCCCTCCCTCCCTCCCTCCCTCCCTCTCTCTCTCTCTCTGTCTCTCTCTCTCCCACACACACACTCACACTCACACTCATACAGAGGAGGAAGCTTTTTGTGAAGAAGGCTGCAGTGGGAAGGGAAGGGACCAGGGAGGTAACAGAATGAATTTGCTGAAGACAGATCATGAACATGCATGGAATTTAATTAAGGTTGTTTGCATGACCATGGGCATGGGACTGTGGGATTAGTTATGGGGGCATAAGCAACTTCCGATGGCTACAACACTGAAGAAGCATGCCCACCCCCTCCCCCAGCAGCCACCAGCTGACAATAGCTCCTCAGCTACAGGCGGAATCCCATGTTCTCTTTACCAGTCGGCTACACTGGCTGGCCAGCGAACCGCAGGAATCTACCTGTCTCTGCCTCCCAGTGTAGGGTTACAGAAGTGTGCTGCCACGACCTGCTTTTTACACGGGTACTGGGTTCAAATGCAGAACTTCATGCTTACACAGCAAACACCTTACTTGCTGAGCCATCTCCCTTGCTCCTAAGCAAATCTAGTCCATCAGATCTCGGAAATAAAAAGTCCAGTGTGGTCAGTGGATTGGTTACCTTATGTTACCCGGGGAGAGTAAGACTCTGAAATTACACCCTCATCTTACTTATATAAACCAGTGAGGAGATTTTAAATCTTCAACCAAAACCAAAACTTAATCTGAAGTCTAAAATTACATCAAGAAATGCAACTATGAGTATGTTCAAAATGGGTAAAATGCCTGAAGTAATTTGAAATGCTCAGTAAGAAAAACTAGTAATTGCATGTTTTCCCCTAGATGTACTCAGCTAGATCTTGCTAAGCTCTTAATGTATGCTTCACACGCAACTGGTATTACACGAAGTCTGTTTCCAAATGTGATCTAGGAGTATCAGATGGCACTTTGGGCGAATCTCACCACTTGCACACTTATGTAAGAGCACAAACAAGTGGCCAGCCAGATCTGCCAGACCTGTAAGAAACTTTGGGAAGAAAATTAGCCAAAATCAATTTTGTTTATGGTAAGTCTCTGGAGAAGTAAACGCCTAGAACTAAAATAACACAAACATGTTTTTTCTTAAGCAAAACGATGCAGACATTAAGCTCACAAGATAGATGAAGTTACTATTGTCCCCCCTACTAGTTGTAGAAAGTGGAAAGAATTATATGAAACAGCAGTTTTCAGACACATAACAGAGGGAGAGAGAAAACAGGCAAATGAGCTGACCCCGTCAACTGCCCGGCTGACTGCCTAGAGCTTGCAGGCTGTGGTGCGGGCAGAGGGCATAGGTGAATGAACAACTAAACGTTTAAAAACCCATAGGCAATGATTAGATACAGAAAGTGAGGGAGACGGGAGTCCATAGTGATGTGGCGGTCTATGGCTTAGATGTCTGGGAGGCTGATGTGGCACTGACGTAAGAAGAGAAAAAGCAGTCACTATCGACACCGCGTTCCACATCACACACACACACAGCTCACTGTCGACATCACACACACACACAGCTCACTATCGACATCACACACACACAGCTCACTATCGACATCACACACACACACAGCTCACTATCGACATCACACACACACAGCTCACTATCGACATCACACACACACAGCTCACTATCTACATCACACACACACAGCTCACTATCGACATCACACACACACAGCTCACTATCGACATCACACACACACATACACAGCTCACTATCTACATCACACACACACATACACAGCTCACTATCTACATCACACACACACACAGCTCACTATCTACATCACACACACATACAGCTCACTATCTACATCACACACACAGCTCACTATTGACATCACACACGCACATACACAGCTCACTATCTACATCACACACACACACAGCTCACTATCTACATCACCCACACACATACACAGCTCACTATCTACATCACACACACACACAGCTCACTATCTACATCACACACACACAGCTCACTATCGACATCACACACACAGCTCACTATCGACATCACACACACACACAGCTCACTATCAACATCTCACACACACACAGCTCACTATCGACATCACACACACAGCTCACTATCGACATCACACACACACAGCTCACTATGGACATCACACACACATACAGCTCACTGTCCACATCACACACACACAGCTCACTATTGACATCACACACAGCTCACTATTGACATCACACACACACACACAACTCACTATCTACATCACACACACATACAGCACCAACTATCCAAGGCAGTGAGTTACTGAAGAGCAGCATATTGAAAATGTCTTAGACCCACACAGAATAGCAATAAAAACTTGTTTATCCAAAAAAACCAACAAGACAAGTTAGACACATGAATCTGAACTTAGGGAGTAGCCATGCTGTTTACATGAACTCCCCTTATTTAGTCATCATATTTCAATATCTAGCCCCCAAAAAAGATCATGGCCCCAGGGTTACAACCCATGGTCCCAATTTTACAAAATGACCTAGAATGTGAACAAATTCCTAAGAACTTTAAGAGACCATGTTGTCATCCCACCCCTCCCCCCATTTTAATGAGTAAATTGACAAAATTGATAAAAACAATACAAAGTTATTGTGCCCCTCTACAAGGGTATTATGGCAAATGGTTTCAATGGTATCATCTAATGCTTAAAGAAAGAATTATACAACCTAAAAAAGTAACCCTATTAGTTACAAAATCTCAATACCCAAGGCATAAGAGACCATCATTACTACCAAGTAGGTAATTTGTATGAATTTGCTCAGTCATATAGATGTTTAATGTCAGAAACTGCCATGTTCTCCAGGAAGGGTATAATATGTTACCTTTCTATTAGCTATGAAGGAAGGTGATCCTCTTATTTCTCCCAGATTATTTCCAATGGCTATGTAAAGGTTAACATTCAGTATTATTCAAAGAATAGTGGCAAATAAAAAAATCAGTATCCAACATTCAGTATTATTCAAAGAATAATGGCAAATAAAAAAATCAGTACCCATGTTAATTTACACCCATAATTAACTAAATACTGAGGAGGGGAACCTATGGATATAGATGTTCTGGGATTTCAGGGGCACACCAGGTACACACCAGCACACTAGGAGTACACCAAGAGCACACTAGCACACTGTGAGTATACCAGGAGCACACCAGCACACCAGGCTATCTGTAGGTTCTGATAGAAGTATGACAAATCCTTTTGCTCTTTTTCAAAATTATTTTCATTTCTATAGACCTTTAAATCCCTGTATAAATATGGAACTAACCTCTCAATTTCCAAAGAAACTTGTCTGATTTTGATAAGACTTCTACTCAACTATAGCCAGATGTAGTGGTGCACTCCTTTAATCATACATAGCACTTGGGAGGCAGGGACTGTGAGTTCAAGACTAGCCTGGTCTACACAGTGAATTCCAGGACAGCCAGAGCGATGTAATAGAGAAACCTTGTCTCAAAAAAAAAAAAAAAAAAAGAAAAAGAAAACAAAAAATCAAAAATTTGATCAAAGAATTCTACTCAACCAATAACTAGATCTTGCAATTCATAAATAGGCTACATCTTGCAATTCTGGGGGTCAGTTGGAATTTCTCTCTTTGTACTGTCTTAAATTTTCAGTATATGCTACTGATAGAATTTTATTACTTTAGCTTTGAACAAAAATGAAATTATACTAGCAAGCCTTACAAAGTTATTAAGAGCCTGCTGACGCAATTATAAATTTACTGAGCCAATGAACAATGACCAACCAGGAAAGGTCTGTTATCTCATAAAGCTTAAGGGCTGGAAGCCATTCAGAAAGTCAAACAGGAAAACGTTAACTCTTATCATCAGTATTATCTTTATTTGAAATCCCCACAGAAGCTTGTGGTTGGACCAGCAAGACACTGGTATAAACAAAATGTACTACTTTAACTTCTGTGAAACTGACCATCTCCAGTTTCTACTGCCCCATTTTGGTCAACATCTGTAAATATGTATCTGTCAAATGAAACAGGGTTGAGGGTCTATTAAATATCTATATCATGAGTTTTAAATTTGTTAGCTTGTTTTCGGTGCTACCCAGCTCATACTCAGCATGCATTTGACCACTGAACTATACCCTCAAGCCTGTGAGAACTTATTTGTAAAATAACTTAAAGTACGAATGTTAACAGAAGCTTCTTTTCTTCAAATGAGAGATCCTCTTTTAAAGGAAAAGCGCTTTGCACCTTCACATCGGGAGCTATTTTATAACAAACTACAAAGAACTCGAGTGCCACTGAGAAGTGAAGACTGTTAAACCTGCCACACACTCACAGCATGGACGACCTCACTGCAGCTCACATGTAATTACAGAACTATGACCAGAAATGCAATGCTGAGAGGAAAAAAAACAAGTCTTAAGACAATGCACAATACCACTTCAATAAGACTAGGATACCAATTGGACAATATCAATTACCACGTCTTTTTTTTTGAAATGCACAAAATATCATGCATTATAAGTATTTTCCAGAAGCTTATAAATGGCAAGCTCCAAATGAACTCTACATTTTCAAGGGTGTCTTTACCTTTGCTTCTGTTCAACTGCTTTGTCCAGGTGTAGAAAGATGTCTTGAAACAGGGTACAGCTGGATCGGCTATTAATGGTATAGCCATAACTTCGTTTCCAATATTGTTTCAGATCATTTAAATATTCCAGTACCTAAACAGGAACATTTCAAAAGTAATTTCTAATACAGTTCCAGAAATGTAACTGATTTCCCGATTAACAATAATTCTCAGGAGAGTTACACTAATTTCATTATAGAGCAAACAGCACAATCTTAGCTTTCACCACCCACAGCTACTGCTCAGGCATCTAAGGACTGCCCTCCAAGGTCCAGGACTCATAGCAACATCTGTGCCACCAAAACTTTGAGTCCCAGTTAAAGGGAAACAAAGATCATCAGCTCTGGCCCCTTTCTTCTGACTTCTAATCCCAGTCAATGTGAATTTTTAAGAATTTTAAGACAACGGCTCCTAGAGAAACTCGGTGCTAGTCAAAGTTTAGGAGCAGAGTTCAGCGAGTGTGCTGGATCCCAAACAAAGTGCATCAAAGTCAGCAAAAGGGAAAAGTAGCCACAAGATACAGACAGATTGCAACATACAAGTAACTAGGAAAATATATTAAATCTAGTCAAAAATAAAACAGTAGACTTAGGAATTCAAAACAGTAGAAATTACCATTACAAAAAAGCACCCCTAACACACTTTTTAAAAAATGGTTTTTCAAGACAAGGTTTCTCTGTGGCTTTGGAGGCTGTCCTGGAACTAGCTCTTGTAGTTCAGGCTGGTTTCGAACTCACAGAGATTCGCCTGCCTGTGCCTCCTGAGTGCTGGGATTAAAGGCGTGCACCACCACTGCCCGGGCTCACCTTGCACATTTTTAACATGTCATATAATAAACTTGAAAGTGCAGGCACAACAGAATTTTAGAGCAAAGTATAAGCTACCTGACTTGGGAAAATCTGAGTAAACAAAAACTAGAGTCAAAGATCTAAAGAGAAGTTGAGTTTTTAAGTGTTGAGGACAGGTTTACCAGACAGCAGATCTGGATAATACAAATGACTTTTATAGAAAAATATTAGACACAAAAGTTGATGACAGACTAGGAAACACAGTCTGTCATCACTTATAACAGAAGAGGGCACAGAGCTGTAAAATCGGTGACACTACTGAGAGCAGCTGGCTCCTTTGGAAAGACCTGCCTGGCAGCTGCTGAACGGACATCTGGGTGACTTCTAAACTATCCCGTCACCATGGAGAGCATATAGTAACATCTTTCCTTCCTTGTGCTATCTTATATCAGTATGTTCAGTTCTAATCAAATGCCTGACATAAAACAGCCACTAAAACAATTGTTGGCTAAATAACAGCACAAGTGGTCCAGCATTTCACAAGGTCCTAATTAAAAATCTCCACAATTCTCAGAATTGTGTTAATGTCTCTTCACTTAAACATGCTTTACATTTATTGTGTGTATGTGAATGTGAGTGTGTGTGTATGCGCGCGCGTACACACACACACACACACACACACACACACACACACACACAGAATGGGCAAGTGTATGCCAAGAGTGGAGGTCAGGGGACAACTTGCAGGTTGTGGCTCTCTCCTTCCACCACACAGACTTCAGGAGATCAAACTCAGGCTGTCAGGTTTGGCAGCAAGTACCTGTGCTGGCTGAACCATGTCACCAAGCCATCAATTTTAACTTTCAAACATTTCAAGGGAGAATTTTCAAACAAAAAAAAATTTACAACAGCGGTATGACAATACCATGTGTACCCCTCATCCAACTTCACCAACAAGAAATCTTTAGTCGATCCTGTTTCAACTATGCTCTAGTTACCAATGGATTGTCCTCAAGTGAATCCCTCATAAAATTTCATTTCACTTGTAGTTCTAAGCTGTAAGAAACAAAATTACTTCTAATCAAATCACTGAACAAGGAAACACAATACTATAAGATACTCTTATATATTTTCTTAAATTAAGCAAAGTATGTGCAGGCTGGAGGGATAGCTCAGCCGTTAAAGGCTAGGCTCACAACCAAAAATGTAAGAAAAGTATGTGCATGTGTGTGTGCTTGAATGATTTGTGTGCATACCATGTATGAGCAAAGCCTTTGGGAGCCAGAAGGAGGCATTAGATCCCAAGAATTGAAGTTAAAGAAGGCTGTAAGCCACAATGTGGGTGAATCTGAGTCCTCTGAAGCATTGCAAGTGCTCTTAACTGTTGGTGATCTCTCTAACCTCTATATATTGTGAATAAAAACTTTAATTTCTTATATACATGGAAACTTGATTGTTAAGTTGTGTTGCTTAAATGCATTCTTTGATTATACAGAAAATGCCTGCTGGCAGGCAACATTTGCATCAAATGATCAAACATCAAGGATGTGGCAAACTAACACATTCTTTGTAATGGGATACATTTAGAAGTATCTCAAGTAGAATTCTTGTCAAAAATGTTTCATCTGAATTTATGTAAGTAAAAAAGTCAGGCACATGTAAGACATTTTGCAGAAAAAAGGACGCCAATGTATAACAGAAAAAGAAAGCTGGAGTGCTTTTCTAGACTAAAGGAGGCTAAATAGACATGCCACCAAATGGGATCAGTGATCCTTGATGTGATTCTGAATTTAAGAAGATCATCAATAGAGGGCTTTATGAAGATGTCTGTGAAAACTGTGAATTGCACCATTATATGTTATAGTTATATCATACACTATATGAGAAAATATGATCTAAATGGTTATAATTATGGTCTTGTAGGAGAATAATCTTGTTTAGATGCACAGGTGCTCACTGTATTATTCTTATAGTGTCTACCAGTTTGAAAATTTTCAGAGCAAATAAAAGGGAGGACTCACAAGTAGTAAGAGATATGTAATTCTGAAAAGAAAAAGACAAGTCTTTAACTTTAAAAAGTTCCAGGGATCCCAGCACATGTAGCATTTAACAGATGTGCCATACATCAAATTACTGAATAGCAGAAACGAAGAGGAGCAGGAAGCAAGAGTGAAATGTTTCAAAGGAGAGGGAGCGAATGAGGGAGGGGTGAGGGCAGTACTCGAAGGTGCTGAGGCGTGAGTCAGCAGAGGCAGGTCTGACCACCTCAAGGAGAGCATGTGCACCGAAAGTAGGCACCGTCAGTCTTTACAAGGGACCACACGAACAAAGCCACTCGGAATAGGAAAGAACAGGCGGTCGAGCTAATTACATCCTAAATGCTCCAATAACTACAGTAATCTGGGCAAATAAATTCAGTTACATGAAATTTCTGTTATCAAAATTCATTGTGTATATGGTATTGAAAATCATCTCAGTTATGATTTTCCTCTGGACCCAAGCAGTGAGAGCAGGGAGAAAAGGAGATGTTTTCACATATATGAATGGTGACCAGAAATATCTTTGTATTTAGACTGGTGACATTATTAATGGTGCTCTTTTTATTTTACAAGTGTCCAGTTAAAGGAGGAGTGAGGGAGAAGAAAGAAATCTAAAAGGAGGAGAGGTAGGGAACAAAGGTGCGCAACAGGGGGAAAAGACAAATATCTCATGCTTTCTCTCACATACAGAAAACAGAAAACTGGCTGGGGTGGGCAGAGAAGTGGGGAAGAGGAAGAGGAGGGCAGGAGAGGGGAGAGCAAGGTTATCATATGACACATGGACATAGTCAAACCCATAACTAAAACATGGAATGGGATTGGGAAGGTGGTATAGACTCAGGTCTGTGGGAAAACGTTCTCCTGAGGAAACTTGGCTTTATACTGGCCCTGCCAATTCTCCCAGCAGTAGGTATTTAATGCATTTGGAGCCTATTACAGAAGGGGGATGAGAAGAAGTAGGGCATCCAGCAGTGACTCAGAGGACAAAGGGAGTAACACGCATCCATTCTGGCACTAAGCATCCTTCACTCCTCTCCTGAACTGGTATGGGAACCATGGCATGACCTTTGACCTGTTGCTGGTCACCCAAGCCTTCACAAAACAAAATAAAGTACCTTCCTGTACTTGAAATCCTGCTATATTGGTAAGGAGCATATTCCTTTAGAATTTAAGTAAGTTGGGAAGCAAGTCTTGATGCCCATGTCAAACACTGATGTTTTACATTATGTACCCAAGGAGCAGCTATGATCCAAGAGTCTATAATCCTGGACGATCCAAACTACTCTCCTAATCCACCCTTTCTAGACCCCAGCACCCTTAAAGTCATCAGAGGTTTCTCTGTACTCCTCCAAAGTTCACAAATGAAGTGACAAGGGAAATGAGGCAGACAGATGAAATGGAGGTGCATCACTGCCACCACCAGGTGGAACCAGGAACCTCTCAGTGGATTTCTCACGAATCCAGGGATGAACCAGGCCTGTGGGAAATGGGCCTCTCTGAGTGTAACTCAGGTTTGTTGTAGCCCTGCCAGCTCTCCCAGGAGTGGGTTTTTAGTTGGGATGGTGGGAGTACCTAGAAATCAACTTACTATGAAAAAATGTCTTTCTGAGTTCTGTGAACCCAAATTACATACTTAAGCACCCATTCCTCAGGAAAACTGGGAGCTAGTCACAGGCAGTTTATACCCCTAATCTTGCTTACTGCTTTAACAACAGAAAAAGTCAAATAGTGACTAAAAACATGAGGAAAAAACACAACGGGACTTACCTTTGCATCATCTACATCAAACACATCACACCAGGGAGAATGGACACCTTTAATTGCCAGGTCAAACGAACAGGTGAAAAAAGCCACCTGAACTAAGTCTGGGGGAGAGAATAGGTAAAATTTGCGGGTTATTAGTTTCTCTAGTTTTGAAAGGCTCATACCCATAGAAAACTATGTGCTTAGCTACACACACAGCTGGAAAAACTGAGTATTTCTGGAGACGAGACTATCAGAGGTCAAGGCTTGACCTGTGCAGTGCAAACAGACAACTGTAACCACCAGAAGAAACCTCCAGGGAGACTTTTCAGTCCATGAGATTATGAAGCAGTCTGAAAATGGCAATTTTTATAGTTTTAACCTAGCTGGTTTCTAAGTGCATGTTGCAGAGCAGGGTCAACCCACTGACGTATTGAACAGAACTCCATACTGATATTTTTAGAAGAGTAGAAAGAGGGAGCAAAAGTTTTAAATGGTTTAGTCCTCACTTGAACATTAATGACAGTATATTTACCATCAGTTTTTAAAATTACAGAACAGTTCATATTACAACTATTAAGCACATAAGTAGAGACTCATAAAATGTGAGAGAGGACCACAGAAGATTGAGAAGGAAGAACAGAGCGAAGGTGCAGGAGAACGAGGAAGACTGTGAGTAGAGAACAAGGAAAGGACCACCCCACACTAGCAAGGAACGGAAGGTTGGTAACTTGGTAACAAGACCCATTTCCCAAATTCAGCTGCCCAAGAAATTTCAGCAGATTTCAGAACCAGGAACCAGGATGTTTGGACTGCTAACTGCTTTCCTTTAGCAAGTGGGTAGGTACTAAAGAAAGGGATACGTGACTTAGGGGTTGGACTATGAGAGAAGGTCTGGGTTTTCTAGTAAACGCGTGGGAACCAGCTAAAGCTGGAGTGGTCATGGAATGAAAAGGTGAGGCGTCAGCTGTAGGGCTGCTACCAGGACTCTGATTTTTGGTTCATTTTACTGTTTTTCTTTCCCAAAGGAAAGTGAAACCAAGATTAATTAGCTGATATTATATACATTCCATATCAGTTCAGTTTAAAGAATTCCTGAGGTAATATATTTAACAGAAAAATACATTTGGGGGTTGAAAAGATGGATCAGCAGTTAAAAGCCCCAGCTGCTCTGATAGAGGACTCAGATCCTATTCCCAGCACCAACACGAAAGCTCACGATGGTCTGTAACCAGTTCCAGAGGGTCTGACCCCCCTCTTCTGGCCTCCATGGGCACCACCAGGCAATACACATGGTATATACGCACACACAAAATAAAATCTTTTTAAAAGACTTGTATTTATATTTTATTAGGAATATACATAGAAGCTATTGGAAACTTTGGCTTCTATAAAGAGGAAGGTTTTATAATCACAACACCTAATAAAACAGAGTGGCTTGCTAACACTGTGTATGTCTGATGACATGACATGACTCATTTGGAACCTCAATTCTAGCTCCCAAACTATAAGGTGGTGTATTCTATAACAACAAAAAAAAAAAAACCCAAATGACCAAACAAACACTTTACTAAGTCAGATACAGTGGTAGATTTTAACTTTTCCCCCTCCCATCAACACCACCTTCTTCTAATCTTTTGGAAACTGACTCACAATATGAGACATATAATCACTTCTCTACATATTAATATTCACCAATACCCATAATAAGTTAAAAAGTTCTGGAAAAATAAGAAAAATCTTCATTTCCTTAACTTTCAATTGCTAGGTAACCTTGTGCCCCGTTTTTCACTTGCGGTCATCTACTTTCTCTCTCCAAAGTGTCCCAACATAGATGACAAACCACAGGCAGCCGATTCACTACAACAGCTCAAGACAGATGTGGCTACTCATGCCCTTGGGGTCTCTACCTATAACAGCTGCAAACCCAGCTTACTTTTTAACTTCCTAAAACCACACTCTCCACATTAACATGCACTCCTAAGGTTTGCCAAAACTAAATGATTTACATGATTTTTTACTTGCATTATTTTACAAAGAGATAATTCAGAAAAGACAATTTTTAAATTATAAGCTATGCTTAGAGATGAGATTTTTCACAAAAAATCCACATTTAAGAACCTTGTATATTAATTTATAAAAGAGTTTAAAAGTATGAAAATAAAATTAAGCATGTGGTATATAATTTTCCTGACCCAAGACATACTATTTAGTTAACATAAATATAATTGTGAACCCCGAGAAGAGTAACTGTTTTGTTTACATTTAACACTTTAAACCATTTAAACCAGAATTTAGATGAAATACAACAGATTTTATTTATTATTACCTGCATTTAAGCTGTTTACTGGCACTTGCAAAGTAGCTGCAACTTTGTTTAAAATCTTCTGCATTTCAGGTCCAGTTTTGAAGGCTTCTACATGATAAAGAGCTGACTCATTTCTTTCCACGTCAGTTAAAAACTTCTCACAATGATCAAAGAACCTCATTAGTTTATCATCAATTCTTGGAGGGTCACACTCCATATCTGAAATGAAAGAGGCACGCATTTGTAAATCGTTGGCATAATGACAATTACTGAAGTTTTAAAGTGTGAATGGAGAACATTTAACAAGCATTTAAGTTGTGTCTGGGGGGAAAACACATTGATCAAGAGACTGGTGCAGTTGCTAGTGGAGATGGAAGAGGAAGTCAGGTGTGGGGGGGGGGGATGGGGGTTCTGAGTTCACAGAAAGATGTGCCTGATATGACACCTGATCTTGGGTCCTCTGCAAAAGCAATACTCTCAACCACAGAGCCACCTCCCCAGCCTCAAAGAGAATGTCTTTTTGTTTTGTTTTGTTTTTGTGAGGTGTTTGTTTGCTCCGCTTTTCTGAGGTACTGGGGATCAAACTGAGGGCCTCCGTATGCTAGGCCAACTGTCTACCCACCAAGCTCCAATCCCAGCATAGCTTCTTCATTTTTAACAATTATAATGCATGAGCTAATATCCTAGAAAAGACTTTTTAAAAAAAAAGTAGATTGAGAAGAAATGAGTTAAAGCAATACTATACCAGGAAATTACATATATATACATATGTTTTCTTAAAGCAAGCACAATGAGGGAAGCATAAAAAGTGCAAAGCAGTCGCGGAGTATTGTTTCCCTCCAGCAAACTAAAACCAGCAGTTTCCAGACACCTGGTGGAAAACTGGTCTCCTTCTTCCTGCTAAGCAAAACTCCAAGTGGAGCATTTCATTTTCTCAATTAATTTCCAAGCTGTGTAACTTTTAAAAATGTTCTATTTTGACAAAAACTACTAGAAACAGCAAAGCAACACGGATGTTGCGGGTCTACTGCTTCATGTTAGAGGCCAAGCACATCTGGTGTCTTTTGCCTGAAGCTCTCAGACTGCTTCTGAGTTAGCATTTACTAGATTACATTATTTCCACAAGTTGGCAACAAACATTTATTGGAAAAGCATTTACTATTATGCTTCAACTTGGGGCCTTTTCCCAGTTATGTTCAAAAAATCTCAATCATTCTTTCAATGGGAAAAGAACATTAAGTATGTTTCTGTATATGAACATGAAAAAACATGTTGGATATATGTGTAAAAATATAAATATGTACATAAATATATTCCTCCAAATGGTAATTCTGTCTACTCTATTTGCTAATTGGATTACAGTTCTTATAGAAACATCCTGAATAAGAGAATTCTGTCATCTTCCTATATGGTTCCAAAGATCATCCTCTCATTTGTGTTATCAAATTACATATTCTGTTTCTATAGAAACCTAAAATATGATTCTGTGGCCTTTCTCAGAAGCCCAGATGTATACAATAGACAAAACAACCCTCTGCAGATGACAAGAGAGTGGCCAGGGGTGAGTTTAACTTCTGGGACTGGCCGGGAGGTGGTGGCGCACGCCTTTAATCCCAGCACTTGGGAGGCATCTCTGTGAGTTTGAGATCAGCCTGGTCTACAAGAGCTAGTTCCAGGACAGTCTCCAAAGCCACAGAGAAACCCTGTCTCAAAACAAAAACAAAGACAAAAACAAAACGACTTCTGGGACTGAAACAATGAGGGTTAGATTCACCCCAACCTGTTTCCATTCCTGGCTTTGTACTCGAGGCAAATGCCAATCGTCACAATGCAATCTGAGGACCATAATTCATTTATCCTAAAAGGATGGATATACACATACACATACATACACACATATATTTACACAGTACACACTGTGCTTTTTAAAAAATGGCATTTGTGTACTCTGGTTTCTCTTCAGATCGTATAAATCTTTCGCCTTTTACTAAAGATTTCCACGGAGAGGAACAACTCTGAGTCTTAAACTAATTTTTTGAGGCCTTGCTTTCAGCAGGGCTAAAAAAAATGGTATTTGTTTACTGTGCAACTAGCAGGACTCAGTTCCCTCCCCTCACTGTGTACACCCAGTAATCCAACTCAGGTCATCAGGCCTGGCTGCCGGTGTCTTTACCTGCTGAGCCACCTCACCAGCCTGGAGGCGCTATCTTAAACGTTCAAGTTAATCTTAATGGATTTAGGAGGATTTTCATTCCATCTAATGAAAAAAAAGGTAGCCATAATTAAAAAGCACACTCAACAAATAAGCACACACATGTGAGCCAGCTGAGTTATCCACAAAGTAGTAACACCACACACAACACTGGGGAAGTCTCTAGAAGAGGTTTTTAAATGTTATGGAAGAAATGACAAACTGAGTCCTTCCAGTTTTTTGAGTCTCTGAAGGCTCATGATGTCCCTCACTTCAGTTCTCTTCCCTTAAAACTGATAAGCAGTTGCTAACACCTGCTCATCTTTTGGTATAAAAACGTTGCGTTACATGCTATTTCCATCAGGTATGTCACAGGTAAGTACACAGATGTATGTCATAACGGTTGAGAGCAAGTTCTAAACTTGATTTCCTAGATCCACATTTAGCTTTATGAAAATGGGTAAGTTATTTGGTATTTTTGTTTCAGTTCTTTATCCGTGAGATCAGCAGGGGACGCAATTATTGACTTCATAAAGCAATGGTAAGAACTCCCCAAACTAAATGTGACGCACGCATTATGTTTGCTGTAACATCCGTAGCAAGTAAACATTTAGGAGGGAAAAGGCACCCATCTAGAAAAGCCTCAAGTCTGGACTCTGGCCTGACTAGTCATAAACTATGTGAGGGCAGCGAGGGAGGCACACTAAGAGGCCTCCAGCACAAAAGCTGCCTAATTCTGAAACGGTATAATGGTGTGGTAAGTTGGTAAGGTGGTTCATGTGGTCATATATCACAGCTACAACGAGGGAAACGCTACAGTAAACACAAGAACGAAACAGAAGGGGAAAGCAGGGCATAGAGAGACTTTAAGGAGTGGCTTCTTCAAACAGCAAGTAAATATAGAAACACCTGAAAAGACGATGAGTAAAAAAAAAAAAGTCCAACTCCCATACGCAAAGCAGAGGAAGAAAGTTGTATGTTATTTTGTTGGGGGTCCGGATCTGGGGGAGGCGGGGCGCGCTGTCACCTGAGACGTCGGGCGGCGGCAGTCCCGGGTGGTAGTGTTGCCACAGCCCTTGGAGGAAGGCGGCGCTGCTGTCCACACAGCGGTGCTTGGAGCTGGTGACCAGCCGCAGGCGGCCGTAGTTCTCCCGGCTGAAGAGGTCTGGGAAGAGGGCGGCCAGGCGCAGCGCCAGCTGTCGCATGTCCTGCCGCCCCTTCTCCACCAGCTGCCCGTCCATCCAGTCGTCGTACCACAGCGGCCACTCCACCAGCGCGGCGCCCACTCCGCCCCCGCGGCCCCCGGCTCCCCGGGTCTGCAGCAGCCCCTGCAGCTGCCTCAGCTTGCGGATCTGCTTGGTCGTAGGGTAGCGGGTGCCGTGACGGATGAGGGCGACCAGCTGCACCGGGGTGCAGGTCCCCGCCAGCAGCTCCGGGTCCCGCCGCGGCGCCACCGGGTCGACCAGCAGCCAGGGGTTGACATCTTCGTAGCGAGTCTTCGTGCCGAAGTAGGGGCTGAGCACCGAAGCCACCGGGTCGCCGCGCCCCGGGAGAGAGCAGCGCGCGAACGACGAGAGCAGCGCCGCAGCCAGGACCGCGGCGGGCGCTACCGAGGCCGGGAGGCGGCTGCGGGGGCCGGAGAGCATCGTACCCGGGGGCCCGCGGAGGGCGGCGCGCGGCTGCGGACCCCCACTTCCGGATCCGCCGGCGGGGGGGGCGGGAGTAGAGCTCGCTTCCGGCTAGGAACCGCTGAGGGCGAGTGTGGTCCCCGATACCGCGACTCAGAGCGAGCGAGCCGGAAGATCTCGGAGCCGCGGTGGGTGTGGACAGGTGGAGCGGCGGAAAATCCCCAGGGGCGTGCGACACCCCGCGCAGGTGGAAGCGGCGTCAGCTGACCCCGGAGCGTGGGCGACTGTCTGGCAGCTTGGCGCCTCGGGAACAGATGTCAAAGATTCCTGGGCTGTCCGCATCAAGTCCTAGTTCTGGTTCTGCCAAAAGAGAATACTTAGTAGATGACTTCTGTCTCGTCCTTTACTGTGTGTTTTCAACATGTGCCCTCTGGACGTAGGACGTCTGTGGCCTTTGCAGGATACCTCCTGAAGCACTTAACCCCCCCCCATAACCCCCCCCAGCCCCTTCTTGTAAGAGTTTGAAAAATAAGCATGGATTTGCAAACGGGCTTATTTTTTCAGAAAATGAAATCCTGGGCCCCCTAGTATGATTCCAATCAGAATAGAGCTGACACAACACCTCAAAATTGTATGCTTGTTGATCCCCAAGGCTAGAAACGGTCGTTCTTATAATTTGGGTTTGTAACACTGAGTTATGGCCTAACAAATGCACCCCATTATTAGCTATGAGCTCATCTGTTGTATGGAGGAAACACCCCTATTTCTCCTATGCTATTAGATATGCAAATGAGCACTTGAGTTTTAAAGGTTTTGTTAATGTGTATGTATGAACCAGCATGACTTCATGTGCAACCATGTGTGTGCAGAAGTCCATGAAGCCCCTAGAACTGGAGTTACAGGCCAGTATGAGCTATCATGTGGGTTCTGGGAACTTAACTCGGGACCTCTTCCACCACCTCCTAGCTTCTGGCTACTGGAATTAAAGGTGTGTGCCTGGCTTCTATGGCTGTGGTTGACTTTGCTTTCTGAATCCTTAGGCAAGCTTTAATAAATCATAAATAATATATCATTATTGTTATATATATGCATAAACATAAAACTATAAACACAATCTGCCGAGTCCCTTTAGTGTTGCTTGTACACATATGATTTCAGAGCTGACCATTTTGGATAAACAATTAGGGGGCTCATAGTAAGGAGAGACTGATTATCTCAGCAGTCATTAGGTGCCTGGAGTTCTTTGTCTAGAGGTGGTGATCCATGATTTCTTTTCTCTGTGTTAGCATGCTTGTTGGTGGTGTCATTATTCAGGTTTGTGTAGGCAGCCATGATGTTGAGGTGTCATGGTTATACTTCTATCATTTCTAGGAGACCCCATCTCACAGCTGTCATCCTGGTCACCTGGCTCTTAAAATCTTTCTGTCCACCTCTTCCGCAGGTGTTGTGTTGTAGATGTATCCACGAGGACTCTCCATGATCAGTTGATCACAGAATCATGACCCCCCCCCCCCGTGTTATCTTAAATAGTACTTTCTGTTCTATGGAAGCTAGACAGAAACAATCTTCTGGGTCTTGTGTCCAAGTGTGTAGTGCCTTCAGCAATAAGGACTTCACTTTGACCTCTGAGAGGCAACCAAGGGCAACAGCAATAGCCTATGTTGTACTGGAGGTCACTTGGACTACCCTGACCAACAACTCAAATGGAGATTTCCCATGCCTGGTACTAGGGGTGGTTGTGGCAGGATACAGGTAATTTAAAGGGGGAAATGGGAAAGTCTGGAAAGGAGACTTCTATAGAGGAGGGGAGGGAGGGCAATACAGAAGGAGAGGGGTGAAGGAGGGACAAGTACCATTAAGGATGTTTCATAAAATCTCCAGAAATCATTATTTCCTATTGATGTAAAATTATATCTAATACATATATGCACACACAAATAAATATCTTAAAGTTATGCCACTTGGGCTGACCATGCTTCTCACAAGAACCATAGTATCTTAGCTAATTTTTTGGATTAAATTGTTTTCTTGTTTAGTTTTTTTAGTCCTTTGTACGTTCAGGATATTAATCTGTCAGGTATTGCTTGATAATAATTCAGCAAATATTTGTGCCAGGTAGAAGTACAGTTTGTCTGACACAGGTGTTTAATAAGGATCACCTTGGGAAGAAATGACCACTTTGCATGCTCTTGCATACTCAGTTGCTACCGAGCCTTCACCTCTTCCTGGCTAATCAGTCTTTAGTGACCCTGTTCAAACTACACACAAAGCCTAGGATACACTCAAATGACTTAACACTAAATTTGCCCCTAGCTGGGTATTATTTCCCCCCTGATTATCTCTTAAGTTTATTCTGTTTTGTAATCTTGGGTAAATCCAATCCCTATCTTTTTAACATCATGTTACTCTGACAAGGATTAAAGTAAGCTCTGACATGTTTTGACAAGAGAGCATCTAGGTATCTTCTAAAGAGGACAAAGAACCCACGAGCTCTGGAAACAGAGTCCAAACTGTGACTCACTAACTGAGGACATCAATAAGTTATCTAAACCCTCTGAGCTTTTGTTTTCTTACCTGAAAACTTTGGAATCTTAGACCTACACTGTGGGGTTATTGACAGAGATGCTTAAAACCCATATAAATGGGTGCTGTGAGTTGTGTTGTATTAGTAGCAATATTTGTGTTTTTCCTGCACTGAGCCCTCCAGCAGTTGTATAGTGAGTATTTATTTCAACAGAACATTCAAGTAAATGACTATACCACAAACTCGCAGCAGAGAAAACTGTACAACTTATTTAATAATAAAAATCCACTGTGTCTCATATAGTAGGCTGTTAATTCTTAGGGTAGTAAGATTTAGTAGGATGAGAAACTATGTTTTCATGTTAAGTCATGTCTTAATTCTCTGATCAGTGTGTAAACTGGCAGTCCATCAGGAGAACTTCTTATCTCCTGATCTATAATCAGGTGGAGTACACATGGTACAAAGCATGACTGCCCTTTGTAGAGATCGGGAGTGAGTCCCTCTCCCACATAAGAGACTGTGGAAGCCACAGCAATATTTTTGACAAATACGCCACAGTAGACAAAATGGAAAATTAGTGTGTCAGGGTATTTGAAGAAATGGAAGAAAATGGAACCCAGAACAGAGATCATTTAATTTGTGCCAGAAGAAACCTTGTCTTTTTAGTGAGGATGGGGAAGATGGGAGAACATACACTGAATGTGCAGGCAATGTAGTAGCACAGAGTTCATGGGACCCACACCAGATGGGCAATTTCTGTAGAGAGGGAGAGAGAGGTAATCTTGCCTCCAGTATTACTACAGAAACTGGCCATCTGGTGTGGATCCCATGAACTCTTGGAAAGTGTACCTGCCACATTGGGTTTGACTGGCTTGGATTTGTAATTAAGAGAAATGAAAGAGTGGGAAAGCATTTGTAGCTAAAAGAAACAGGGAAAACAAAAGTTGATTGGTCAGCTTTGAGAGTCGAAGAATAGAAGACTTGGACCTCTAGCGACTGTATACTTTTATTCATAAGTGAAAATTAGCTTCTGCATTTAGAATGAGAGGAAAGCTTAGCTCAGCCATTTTACACTATTCCTTAAGTAGAACTTTTTCAACCAACTACTGTTGTTCTTTTTTGCATGTTATCCATAGGACTTCTAAAATAGCCGTTACAATCATAACATCATACAGTACCATATATAGTATCTTAGTGATAGTCATTTGCTATACTTTTAAAGGGGATATACTACATAACAACATAGACTCTCATAGTAGGCTTTCCAACTTTAAACTCACACTTCATTATTTATTCTCCATGAGATCTTAAGCAAGTCAAACTCTTCTGCTTCTCTGTTTCACCTATAAAGTGGTGAATATACACATAACTACATCTACTATCACCTATGGTTTGAGATTAAATGAGACAGTTAACAAAAAACTGTGTGTTGCCTCTTGCTCCACCCTACTATCAGTTATTTATATTAGGCAGCATTTACATTTTTCTTATTTCCACTTCTCCCCTAGTCAAGTAAACTGACAGATGGCTGTTTTTTCATAGATATTTATTATCTCACAGCTACATTAAGCAACTGACTTTGTGCCTTTGCCAAGAAAGCTACTGCATGATTATCTTACCACCCTTCAGTTGTATCATTCCTCTTTCTACGTTTTCCAGTTGTTGATTTAATGTCTACTCAATTTTCACCACAGCAAATAGCTGGAGAGGAGATGATGTAAAATGGAGGGGACTGGAGTGATCCTTGCATCTATGGCATTTCCTTCAGTCTTGCTTAATTATACAACCTGTTCAGGTCACCAGTGCTGCAGACTCTAAGATATGCTTGCTCAAAAACAATAGCTAACCCCAGTTTGTTCCCTAGCCTACCTACAATGGGTTAGAACTGTGCTATATTTAGCTCATGTGGAGAATTTTACTAAACTACATATAGGCATGGCAATGACATGCTGATTATATTCCCCATTATACCCTACTCGAAGACATTGACAAAGTTATATATCTGATATCCTGACATGTCTTAAGATACTGATGTTAATAGTTTTCTTTTTATTAAGACTTTGCTCCAAATAATGCACAGACTAAGATTCTGATAGATTTAAGTTATTAATATTCTTTGCATCATTTGTCATTCCCCATTTAGTGGATGAACAATTGCTACACATTTGCCGGCTCTTTCTGTTGGTGTTCTTGTGTAAGTTGGTATTACTGCTTAGCAACCTAATTTCCTCTAGAAGTCTCCTATACCCAAAATAAATTGCTATCACATTACAGAGACAATAAGTTTCCAAACCCTCCTTTAAAAATCTTGCCTTGCTGGTGGTGGTGCATGCCTTTAATCCCAGCACTCATGAGGCAGAGACAGGTGGGTCTCTGAGTTGGAGCCTGGTCTTCAGATCGAGTTCGAGAACTGCCAAGGCTACACAGAGAAACACTTTGTTGTAGTTGGAAAGGATTTTTGCTTGGATTGAGTTGGTTGTCTGCCTTTGGTATATCAGCAAATACTAAATGTCAAATAGTACCTAAGTCAGAAGGCCATATAAGTCCCCATATACCTACACACATTGCTGC